ACACCAAAGCGGCATACACCATGAAAGCACAGGGGCTGCTTAAGAAAAGATGGTACTTGAAAATTGGCTTTCTGTGCATCGAAGGTATATGCCGTTAATACAAAGCCAAAGCACAAGGATAGTAGCCCACTAGCTTGCTTGATAATTATGTGATACTGGTGGGGTTATTACGTATGCACGATTTCTGTCTGCTAGGGAGCGTTTTCTGATAACTAATGACCTGAGCATTTTCGTACACAGAGCGCAATGCTGCAGACTGAGAGCATCTGCATTAGGGGTGTCAGTAAATAACTTCAGACCACACCGAACACTTACTAGATAAAACCATCCCTCTGGAATTTTGTCTATATAACCACCTTCATTTATTGATGCAAAAAAAAAAAAACAAACTTTCATATTTCCCTGAACATGCGATGCTGACTCTCAATCGCAGCATGGAATTTCACATACCAGACTTCCAATGCACAGGGCTGCGTATGAAACGCGTTGGCATGCGATATTACTTGTCAAAGTTGTTCTTTTCACTGTCCGTTAAAACACAGTTCCGACAAGTTCTCATCTCTCATGGGTAGTACGGCTCAGTTTTACAGTTAAGAATCTAAGTACCAAAGAAACATCGGGCAATTGTGCAAAGAAATACATGAAAAAATTATACCTTAACGCCCGACAGCATTAACGTGACGTAGTAAAAATCAGGAAGTAGGAAAGCACGAAGTGTTGAGCCATCGCGCACTTGCTCAATGATCGCCTTGACTCTTTTCTGCTTGAATGTGTCCACCAGCGCACGCGGGTTCTCCACCACCCACTGCACATGCCGAACCTTGAAAATATTTATACAAAATTTTAACTACGCCCGCTTCTTTACCTTGAGCAATAACTTTTCTATGCCTTATCAGCATTTATGCAACAGAATTCTCCAGTCTGCTCAGTAACCAAATATCTACCCATCTTACTGGCAGCGTTTCCAGCACTCTGACACCACGAACTGGCGCACATTTTTGGTTGAGAGCATCTCGAATGGGCCCCCTGTGCACTGCTGGTTAGCAACAAAATCCCCTCCTCGAGGCAGAAACCAGCGTGCAGCATGTTGTAGAAGCTGCAGTTCGTGCGGGTAACGGCATATTACGATGATGTAGGGCTAAAATGATGGCCAATCGCTAAAACGCAAAGCTCCGAAAGAAAAAAAAAACCCACTGTAACTCCTCCAGATCTACGAATGGTTGAATCACGAAAAGCAAGGGCAGGAACAAAAGGAAAAGTTTATTTTGTAAACTTTCTACGACTTGGAATCTCCGCAAAAAATTGATGAAAAATAACATAAATGCACACATGTTTTGAAGCGCTTCCTTCCTCGCCAGACCATTTCCCTTTTTTTGCCGTTTTCGCTGCTTCTTGTAACTCCAGCAGTTTAGTAGTGTAGTCACTGCAATGGTCAAATCTAATTTCAATAATTCCAACTATGGCTGGCGGACTTGACATAAAGTGGTACTCTCATGTCATAAATCAATAGTTTAAGTTTTTTTCAATGGATCAATCCTTCTAAGATTCAGCTCGAAATGGCAAACTGGTACTGGGCACACGCAAGGGAGCTGAAATCATCACTAACTTGCACCTAAGTAATTTTCACAAAAGTGAGTGGTCGAACATCTTTCCACTAACTAATTGCTGCTGGCAGTATAATAACATGCGGGGTACTTCAAAGTGA